GCTGCTCCTGCTCGCTCAGACGTCCCGCTCCGTCCTCGCGGATTAACCTAGGAATTTGCCCGTTATCCCATTAGCAGCTTGAAGGATGTGGGCCAGCCAGGTGTGTTTGTCAGAGCCCCAGGTCTAGTCGTGGCTTTGTGTCAGCGTGGAGAGGCTGTGAGATGTTTTGTTACCCAAATGCTGATGGTCTGGCTGGTCCGTGCTCTGAGCTGGCCTGGAAACATCTCCTGTCGTGCAGGCGTGGATCTGCGATAGCCCTCGTGCAGAGACATCAGCCGAGGGCTGCTTGGAGTGAACGGAGTCTTCTCAGTCACCCAGCTGTTCCGTGGCCCTTAGGGCTGGAAATAACCTTCCCAAACCCGCTAATGGAAAAGGAGGAGAGAGGGAGCTGAGCCGGGATGGCAGAGTGTTCCCAGCCCAGGAGGATGCCGGGGAGCCGCTGCCTCCACTCTGCGTTGAGCTCACGGCTGGGGGGGGGGTGGGGAGCCGCTGCCTCCGCTCTGCGTTGAGCTCACGGCTGGTGTGGAGAGCCAAGTTTCCTGTCTGGGCCAAGTGGCTGTTCCAGCCTTGGTTGTAGGGATGAAAATCCCCCACGGTAATCCTACCTTTTAACAAGGATAAATCTGGGATTAGCCTGCCTGAGATGGTTAAGACAGTAGCCTGTTGCATAAGTGGTGGTGACCAGCGGCTCCTGCCTGTCCCTTCGGGAAGGGCTGATGCCCCAGGTGCTCTCAGAAGGGACTCACTGCTCTCTGCATGCTGTTCCTCCTCCCATGGGCAGCAATGATTTCCTCCTGGTATTTCTGTCTTTAGGCCGAAGACCCACCATGCCCAGCAGCCCGTGAGGAAGAGGAGGAGGTGGTCCGTGTGCTGACTCTGCCTCTGCAGGCTCATCACGCAATGGAGAAGATGGAAGAGTTTGTGTATAAGGTACACGAGCATGTAGCGATCCCTCAATCCTGATTTTAGAGTATTAATGAGGCCCAGATGCCCCAAGCCCGGGGCTCAGGGTGGCTGCAGAGGCTGGAACGCGTCACTCTGGGTGAAGCTCCCGGGGCTCCGTGCAGCTGTGCCAGCGTTCTGCTCTGGCTCCACTCCCCTGGGCCTGCTCCTGAAGCAGCATCTCCCGGGATCGGTGTGGGAAGGGGATGGTGGCGGCTGGGGAGCGCCCGTGGGTGTGGGAGGTTGTGCCCAGCCATGCCAGACGAGCGGCGACCTAGGGAGTGGTCCCAGTATCTCTGCAGTCCTCTAACAGGGACTGGGAGCACCAAGCACCATTGCTGGTTTCACCCGGTGCCTGTCACTGTGGTTTGGTAAACAGTGTCATCGTCCAAGGGCCAGCCCAGTTCCGTTGCCAGCCAGGGCTCCCTCTTCTGTGACCGAAATGGAAGGGAGTTCCCCATCACAGGGAACAGTTACTTTGGGTGCCAAAGGGCTAAACCTGAGGGTGCAAATCACTTCTGACTCCCTGGGGGGATGTGTGGGGAGTGCTTTGCAGGATGTGAGTGGCTTAAGGGGTCCACAGGGTGCTGACGTTGCAAAAGCTGAACTTCCTCTCCCTGAGGAGCCTTTCAGGGCCTTTTCTGCCCTGGGTTTGTTTTTTTTTTCTTCTGGGCTTTTTCCACATGCCATTTTAGGCTCCTGGGGTGAGGAAACATGAGCTTTTGGGCTGGCTCGATGCTCTGGGGGCCACCAGGACAGCTTGGTGTGTTGCAGGTGTGGGAAGGGCGCTGGCGCGTGATCCCCTACGACGTGCTGCCTGACTGGCTGAAGGACAACGATTACCTCCTGCACGGACACAGGCCCCCCATGCCGTCCTTCCGAGCCTGCTTCAAGAGCATCTTCCGAATACACACAGAGACAGGCAACATCTGGACGCATTTGCTAGGTGACTGGGAGGGTTTGGGAGCCCTGGGGCTGAAGGTGGGCTTGGCCCTCGTGCATGAGGGTGGCCTTTTACAGCCAGGACTTCCGTGGTGCTGGGGCCCTCTCCATGCCCGGAGCCTCCCTTTGAGGATGATGTACCGCTGCCTGGCCCTGTGCACGCAGGCAACTCGGTCGTGAGGTGCCCCAGAGCTCCCAGAGCCCCTTGGGTGAAGGGAGACTGGGACACTTCCTCACGGTGGGGCCCCAGGGCTCAGCTCAGTGACGGTTTGTGGCTTTGCTGATGTTCCGCAAGAGTGGGACAGAGAAACGTGTCCTGGGCAAAGCAGGAAAGCCTCGGAGCGCTTTCCTCAGAAAGCCAGGGACGGGTCAGCGGTTCTTCACCCTGTGCCTGGCCATGCTGTGTCCCCGGCTCTGCTCATCTGCGGTAACAACAGCCTCAGCTAATGGCCCGCTGCCAGGCCAGCTCCAGGTGTGACTGAGCACCTCCAGGTGCGCTGCGAACAGGATACATCCAGGGCCTGCCTTCCAGAGCACAGCCAGGGCCGTGTTTCTCCTGTTTTCTCATTTGCTCTCCTCCTGACTGCCCATTTGGTGTGTTCCCTGCAGGTTTTGTCTTGTTCCTCTGCTTGGGCATTCTGACCATGCTGCGGCCCAACATGTATTTCATGGCTCCTCTCCAGGAGAAGGTGGTGTTCGGGATGTTCTTCCTGGGAGCGGTGCTGTGCCTCAGCTTCTCCTGGCTTTTCCACACTGTCTACTGTCACTCAGAGAAGGTCTCGCGGACTTTTTCGAAGTGAGTCAGCTCAAGCGCGGTTGTGTGGACTCATAGGAGGTTTTGAGTTCTCAGAACACTTTCTCTTGGAAAGCGCTGCATTCCCAAATGTTTTATCCTTGGGGGAAGAGAGTGTTCACTGAATCCAGTGTGGAGCTGAGAGGGAACCACAGCTGGGTCCTGGAGGGCTCTGCCCTGTGCCTGAGCACCTTAAATGCCCTCGGGTGGCTGATAAAGATGGGGACCCCAGGAACCAGCAGCTCCCAAGGGAACAGCCTTTGTGCCCCTCGTAGCAGTGAACTGAGGAGGGGTCTGGGTCTCATGAGACACAGCGGTTTGGCAGTTTCCAGTTTTTACCAGATGCTTTCAAAAACTCTGGTTTGGATCCAGTTTGGACTGAAACCAAATTGAAAGAAACAAAACAAACAGGATTCCCGGCAAAGTGGAAAGGCTGGGCAGTGGCTGATGCCTCTCCCAGAGGTCAGTGTGCCAGCTGCTCTTGGAGTTAAGCTCACATCAGCCTTCATGGCACAGGTAGAGCAACAGCAGGGCTTTCACATAAGATCTTGCTCACAGAAGTCTGTCAAAGGCATTTACTTGGGCGCTGCTTGCTGGGAAATCCTGCCGATCTCCTTTGCACAAACCGCAGAGATCCTGTGGGGTCGTATCTGCAGAACAAACTGTGCCGCCGTGCCTTCAGCAGAAATGTCCTTGACTACCGGGGAAGGCACTTGCCACGGCCACCGCAGCGGTGGGGGTACTGCAAGTGGCTGCGTTTCAGTGGTGAAATGGTTCCTGGATCGATAGATTGAAAGCACTTTGCAGTGGAGGATAATAGTGAAATCCATACGCGCAAGGACTCGTGCCCACTGCGTCCTGTTGTGGTGGTTTGAGCGCACAGCCCCTCTCATATCCCGCCAGCTCCTGTTCATCCTCTGCGCTCCTGTCGAGCTCTGCTGGCATCCCCAGAAGCTGCGTATGTGCCCAAGCCCTTTCTCCTGTCCCAAATTGCATTGGTGAGACCCGAGATTCTCCCCGCTCTGGATGCTGGGCTTCACCCGCAGGGCTGTGGCTGCCTGTCTGGCCGTGGTGACCCTGCCTGGGTACAGCCAGGCTGGAGGGTACCAACACACGGTTACCAAGAGGACACCAGGAGCGGAGTGGATTCTGGGGCTCACCTGTGACTCTCTCTCATTGCATCCTGGCTGCAGGTTGGATTATTCAGGAATTGCACTGCTGATCATGGGGAGCTTTGTCCCGTGGCTCTATTACTCGTTCTACTGCTCCCCACAGCCAAGACTCATCTACCTCTCCATCGTCTGTGTCCTGGGCATCTCTGCCATCATCGTTGCTCAGTGGGACCGGTTTGCCACCCCCAAGCACAGGCAGACAAGAGCAGGTAGGAGTTCTCCCTCCTCACCCTGAGTCCCCAGCCCCGGCAGGGAGCTCAGGAGGGCTTCAGGGAGGCACTTCAGGAGGAGCCATCCCACAGTGGGATCTTCATTTGGGAAGAGCTCTCAGCACCTGCAGAATTAATCCCCCCAGAGCACCACACAGCCCTGCAGCAGCTCCTGGCACGGAGAGGTCTCCTTCCTCCTCTCGCTGTGCTGGGGATTTAGGTCCTCTGCTGAGCAGGGTCTGAGCTCCGCCTGGTACTCGGCAAGCCTGAGCTTTGGAGCAGACGGACAGTATTTAAAAATAGACCTGTAAGTGGTGGCTGGATGGCCTGGGGCCGTGCCGCGCGAACCGCCTTCTCCGGGAAGCAGTTTGGCAGCGTGAGCCTGCGGCTCAGGCAGAGGAGGAGGAGGTTCCTTCATCTGTCCCCTGCCAGTCACATGCTGGCAAGTACCTGCTGCCTTCCTGGAGGCTGCAGGGCGAGGCTGCCTCCGGCCCACTCCACACTCACACCTTGTCTTGCCCCCGCTGCAGCTTCTGCAGATTAAATCAGCCTCACTGAGCACCACCAGGCGTGGAGAAATGCCTCTGCCCGCCCTCACCTCCCAGGGGGGCTCCTGCAGCAAAACGTCTCGTGTCACGTAGCGAGGATGCTGCTACGAGAGACGATGCTGAGCTGGAGGCCAGGCAGCACTGCTGGCGCGTGACCCATGAGACCCCTCAGAGGAGGGCAGGGGACAGGGCAGGATTGCCAGCCCCACCGCTCCCCCACGGCAGCGCTGGTGCTGGCATGCTGGCAGAGATCCCAGCTGCCGGCTCCTGGAGAGGGCTGCTGTCCTCCCTCAGTGCTGCGAAGCAAGAGCACTGGCTGGGCCAAATTCTGCTGCGAGTACAAGCCGCAGCCTCGCTGGGCTGGTGTCACACTGCGACGCCTTTGCTCTCTGCTGAACTAATTAGATGCCGGACCTGAAAATTTCAGCACCGCAAATTAGCACTTTCCCCTTGAGCTCCTAGCAGCTTCACTGAATGAATGACTCTGGCAAAGCCTCTCCTCAAAGGGCTGGCTGGAGCTGCCGTGTCCTCACGCTCGTGAGGCCTCGGTGTGATCCGAAGGGCTGGCACTGTCCAAAGGGCCTGTTCCCGTAGCCAGGAGCGGGAGCTGCCACGGGCTGTATGGAGAACGCTGAGTGAGCTCTGTCCAGTGAGCACTGGGGGTCAGCACTGGTTTTGACTGGGATGTAGAGCTGTAGATCCCTCATTTTGTGAAGGCTAAATGTCGTGGGGATTGGATAATCCAGGACTGAGCAAGGAAAAGCTGCTGGTGCATCCAGGAGCTTTCATTTGCGCAGGATGAAGGTGTCGGGGGAGCTGACAGGGAGCAGCGTCGCCCAGTCCACCCCGTGCTCCAGTTCGCTGATCTCTCCACCACAGGTGTCTTTCTGGGGCTGGGGCTGAGCGGCGTGGTGCCCACCATGCACTTCACCATTGCCGAAGGGTTCGTGAAAGCCACCACCGTCGGCCAGATGGGCTGGTTCTTCCTCATGGCCGTGATGTACATCACGGGCGCGGGGCTGTACGCTGCCCGCATCCCTGAGCGCTTTTTCCCGGGCAAGTTCGATATCTGGGTGAGTGTGGGACACGGTGGTGAGCGAGGCACTTCGGGGGGCAGCTGCGAGGTTGGGGAGCAGGGAATCAAGGGTGGTGAGCTCCGAGATGAGGAGAAGGTGGCTGGGGGTGTCCTCGTGCGCCCCAGCACATGTGCTGGCAGCCAGACCTTGAACGGCTGCTGCGAGCAGGCAGGGCAGGCGAAAGTCCAGGGTGGAAAACGCTGTCTGGGAGCAACGAGGGGGAAAAAGTGGAGCTCAAGAGGACAGTCCTGGGGCGGTGCAGAAGCAGCGAGGAGGAGGAGGTGGTGTTCCCAGTGTTGCTTTGTCTCCTTTGGTCTGGTCTAAAAGTGCTTTTTTGCTTCTCCGCAGTTTCAGTCACATCAGATCTTCCATGTGCTCGTGGTGGCTGCGGCCTTCGTCCACTTCTACGGGGTGTCAAACCTGCAGGAGTTTCGCTACGGACTCGAAGGGGGGTGCACAGACGACTCTCTCCTCTGAGAGCGCCTGATTTTAGTACAAGCTTCCTAAGTGCTTTTTAAACTATCTTTGCTAAAATCGAAGGAAGACTCAAAACTGTTTGGGGTTGTTGGATGGTTTAGTTTGTTTTGTTTTTTTTTTTTAAGGGAAAAAAGGAAACTTTTTTATCTTTCTCTTTTTTAAGGAAAAAAAAAAAAAACACAACAAAAATTCTTTAGCAAAGTTGTCGACCAAATCCTCACCCCCTTCCCCACGCACTTGGCGGGGGCTGAGGGGAGGCGCTGCGGGTCCCAGCAGCCAGCCCTGCTGCGCTCTCATGGCCTCGCCTCCTCCAAAGAGTGTTTTAGCTGCACTGGGGTCGTCTGACCTTCCCAGGCATGCCCATTTCTGAGAGCAAAGGGTGCGGTACCCCGCTCCCAGCACTGCCGAGCACCCCCTTCCCAAGCTCACCGCCGGAGCGAGCAGAGTCACGCACTACCAGGCCCAGGGCCAGAGATTTTTGCATATCCCTCACAGCAGAGCCGCCTTGCTGGGGCGGCTGTGGCCCCCAGTGCTGCTGCCCAGGGCACATGTAACTTAAGTTTTAAATTGTCTTTTTTGTTGTTGTTGCTGTTGTTGTTGTTGTTTTCCTTGACAAAGTAATGTAAACATAAATGAGAGAATATTTAATATTTAATACTAAGCTTTAAAAGGACTTGCTGCCACCGCAGTGCACACGGCTCCCTCGCTGTCTGTGGTAGTAAAGGAAGGACAGTGTTTTAGGGGAATGTAGAGCTGCTGTAGCTGATTGAAATAAAAAGGTCAATAGTTCTGTGTCGTGCTGATGGTGTCCATTTTGGTTTTTGGGGTGGGTGTAGAGAAGATGCTCAGGGTGTTGGCTGCTTCTGGGGCGAGGGCTCTGAGGAGCATCCCCCCCTCAAAGGCAGCAGGAGCACCCGGGAGGTGCAGGGGCATTCCCTCCTGCTGCAGCAGCAAGTCAGGGCAGCCCTAACGGCAGAAATAAAATACAGGAAACTCCTGCATGTTGTGGTGATTGACGGGGCAGGAAACCCTTCCCTGGCTGGGCGATATGCTGCTGGACCGCCCGACTTCCTTGCTGCCTTCCCTCCTGGGATCAGCATAGCAGAAAAGATGCTGGTTGGTGTGTGGGGGTGAAGGACACCCTCAGTCAGAGGCTCCTCTTTCTGTAGGAATGTGTGAGAGTGACCATCCAGTGCAGGCAGTCAAGGGTGGGCGATTAGAGGGGAAAAGCTGAGTAAAGCTCCTCTTGGGCAGCTGAAGGCCATTGCCTCAGAGGGGGTGAGGGAGAAGCGCCAGGCAGGGCCACTGCAGCCCCTGGGCCACAGCCAGACACCGCTGGCAAGTGCCCCTGCTCTCCCTGGCGGCTGCAGGGAAAGGTTGTGTGGTTGCCCCTTTTTTGAGATGTTTGGATGTGGCCTGGCTTTGGGGACTGCAAAGGCAGGGCCTGGCTGGAGCCCCTGGCCAGGAGCAGCAGGTTCCCCTGTGCATCCGTGTCCCACCCTGGCCGGAGTCTGCTCCCAAACAGGGCCGGTGGGAGACATCACCCCAGTGCTCTGGGCTGCTGCTCAAAGCCAGGGCAGGAGCTGACAGGGCTGAGTCCCCCCCCAGCAAACCCCCAAGGACAGCTCAGCAGTGCGAGAGCCAGGCCCGAGACCGATACCCTAGAGCAGCACACAGATTTCAACGCCCCAGTGCTTTAATCCTATGTAAAGAGTACAGGAAAACATCTGGCAATGAACACACAGATTTGGACACGCAGGGGACGCTCTGCAGGTGATGAGAGCCGAGCGTAACTCTCTCTCAAATCCAGACTCACCCCCGCCCCTACATGGCTGGGGGCTCAGCTGGGAACAGAGGAGTGCACTGGCTGAGTGACACAAATCAAGAAAATTGCCTTGACAATTCACCTGAGGAACCAGGTATGCAGCAAAGGAAGACAGCCTTCACGCACACACACACAGAGTGCTTTTGTGCTTAAGTTTTTGAAAATTACACACCAGCAGCAACTATATGAAACAGTAAGGTACCAGAGACCCAAGCCCTGGCAGCCCTGGAGCAGTTCTAGGACAGGCAGGGGGTGGAAACAGGATAATGTCACTTTTACAGGATGACAAGACATAGGAGACGGTCGGGATCTCACACTTCCATGCACGCTTTATACAATCCTAATTCACCCATTTGCCAACCATTACTGTGACCACTTCCGTGTTATTTTCATCCTCTCCTCTTACTTACACAGGTCTGACTTTGTCCTGACAAGAGTGCAGAGATCAAGCTCCCTCCTGGGCAGAGGAAAAGCCATGAAGCAGCTCAGATAATGTGATCCAAGTCTTTTTGAATATGGATATTCTATCAGGAACTGCCAGCAAGCAATAGTATTAACAACAGAAAACCTCACTGGATACGATTTTTTAACTGCTGGGAAGAGGGAACATGCCTCCACAACTGGCATTTAAGAACAAAAACACGGAGCAGATGTTTTAATTGTGCTTAGGACTGGATCCGAGGGGAAAAGGCAAGAGGCTGCGCTGGCAGAAGGCACACCGGTGCAACGTGCTTCACCCTCCAGTGCCACAGGGCTACGTGTTTTCTGTTCGGGGCTCCTACACACGCCTCACTGCACAGGCCTGGGAGGGGCGGCGATCCCCTTCCAGCCCGCTGCGAAAGCCACAGCAAACAGCAGCAGGGGCAAAGAATTAGTCTGGTGCCACCTCTTGCTAAAAGGGGCTCAAAGCCTTGCGGGTTCAGGGGAAGGGCGGAGGTATGCTGCAGCCTGCAAATCCACAAAAGGCAGATTCTGCTTTAAGCAAAGAACTTGGGCTGCATGGCAGTAGCAAAGAAAACAGTAGTGAAATGTATATTGCTGGAAGTAATTTTCACTGGTTTGCACATTCTCCCAATAACATTCACTTTAGGAATGTAAAACTGCGTGCAGCTGAACTCTTTTCCTTAAGCTGAAATATGTGTAGCGACCTAAATTCGATGGGGAAGAGGCTAAATTCCATCTGCGTTCACTGTGAACGGTCAATGCCACATCCCAGAGAAGACTCCAAAGACTTTCACTTCAGTCCATGTCCAAAGGATGACAAGACTCCATTCGGTCCTTGTCTTAAATCTCCATGTATTCTATCAGACATGTATTAACATTACAGCAATGGAATCTATCATGAATAAATAGATTTGTCATCTTCTAAAAGTTCTCCTGTGCAGCTTTACACTGAAAAATGCTGAAGGTCCTCTTGGCATGGTTTGTGTAAGAGACTACCACGGTGTAAAGACATACCGCATTTTGGTCCTCCAGCATTTTAAATTACAGCTCAGGTACAATATGAATTAGGAGAATGAGGATAATCACTGGTATTGTCTGTAGTCACCAAATGGAGAGGGCTGCAACTGGGAGGGGTCATCTGAAAACTGAGGGCCTGTGCATAAGGCAAGAGAAAAAAAGGCAAATAATAAATACCAAAAGACGAGATGCTTCCTACTAACAGCAGGAAGGACATTCACAGTGTTTTTAATATAAATCCCCTCTAAAATGAAGGCAGGCAGTAACAAGACTTTACATTTGCTTTTTTTTTTTCTTTTCATTCAAAGACGTTCAAGAGCTTTATGCATTGACAAGAGCCTCAGTCCAATAAGGACTGTATTTCTACCTCCTTTATTAATGGGGAAATTAATCAGGGCAGCGAGAGGGAAACGTTTTCAGTCACCTAAAGCAGCTGGAAACCTATGCCTTACTGCCCTTCAGTTGAACTTAGCTACTCTGTAAAGGTTTACCCACAGTAACTTGCCCAACAATAAAGCAAGCCAGTGATACGGAACAAATCATTGCGGAGTCAGCTTCCCGACTCCCCTTACCGTGGAGGGAAGCAATATGTGACGGTTGGACCTGATGATCTTAAAGGCCTTTTCCAACCTTAATGATTCTGTGATTCTGATTCTGTTTGCTGTATGCCAGTTTTAGAGAGGATAAATTGTAACAGAC